ATGGATTTTGGTGAACAGAGTGAAGATATTTTTGAGACTATTTACAATAACATATATAAAGAATATACAACGGCAAAGAATTATTTTTGGTTTGATAAATGGATACAACAAATAGGAATTTACCAACAAAAAATCTTAAACGTTTTTAAAACTGTTTTAATGCATTTAATGAGAAATAAATTGATGTATATTTCTTTATTTTTAAAAAATAAACAAAAAGTAGATGCAATATATGGCCTAAAAAAATTGCAATGTTTAATTGAGAATACCATTATATTATTTGATGGTCAAGAAGCTCGCGATGTTGAAAAAGTATTCAAATCTTTTGATCAAGGCGATTACCATAATAATTTGATATTAAATATTGAAAATATAATAAATAAAATAAAACCTAACTCTTTTGAATTAATTTCAAATGATTTAATAAGTGATCCAGGCTACCAATTAAGTGTTATTGTTAAAGCTGAAAAGTATATCACATATTATAAGTTAAATGNAGTATATCACAAATTATAAATTAAATAAAGATGATTTAAAATTTATTGAATATTTATACACAATCTCAGATTCTAAAGCAATGAATAATCATTTAGTAAATATATTTTTTTTTACTAAGTTAATCAATAAAACATTTCAAAGTGTTAATATAAAAAGTATTTTATCATATTTAAAATTTACTGAAACTTTAAAAATATTCATTTTCGAAGATGAAAATAACGATGAAAATAACAATGAAATAAGGTTATTAGATTTGTGAAAATAATTTTTTTAAAAGTTCAAACNATATTTAAAATTTACTGAAACTTTAAAAATATTCATTTTCGAAGATGAAAATAACGATGAAAATTACAATGAAATAAGGTTATTAGATTTGTGAAAATAATTTTTAATCAGTTTTTTGAATCATCATAATTTATTTCAAATCAATACTAAAATTATTTTAAATTAAATTGGAGTTTATTTTTAATGGTGTTTTAATGGTCGTTTTAATAATATCACTTACATTGTGATATCACTTATAATATNTCGTTTTAATAATATAACTTACATTATGATATCACTTATAATAATAGCATAGAATATGTTTTTTGAATATGTATTTCACATATTATAAATATTTTTAACATCAAAACAGAGTTCCCTTCTTAAAATACTAAATAACCAAATGATATCTGGACAAAATCTTCAGCTTTCATGATTATGCTATAGATTGCAAGGACACTCTCCTCTGATCATAATTAGCCATTTTACATTCTAAAACCAGTTCTTTTTTGGCATCAAAATACAAAAAATCTAAGAGACTCTACTCGAAAATCATTTTTTTTGTGAATTAGCCCCAACAATTTTTTTTGAATTTAAAATTTTTTTCAAATTAATAATAATCTTAAATTTATAATATACTTAGAAATGTTGGAGTGAATTTAGTTTTGGTGAATATTTTAATTTATATTTATTTACTTATAAGATAATAATATTATATTTTTCCTATCATGGAAATAAATATTAATTAATATTTTAAATATCAGTTTTTTTTTTGTAAATTATTTCATTTTAATGACTTACGTAATCTTATTTTAAATGTTTATACAATATTAAAAATCTATTGTGCGTATTTCTCATTATGTAGCAAGTCTTGAGCTTTTATTATTTTAAAAATAGATATATTAGGTTTGTAAACTTATGCGTACTTGGTAGATAGTATCAAGCTAAATGTCTTTGTTTTAACAAACATGCAAAACTTTGGACCAATATTAAAGCATTCGAATAGTCGACCTTCAAAATGCCAAAATCAGCTATTTCATTGTGCTCTGCAAACATTTATTTATATATATACAATGAATGACATCTATAAAAAAACCACATGAAAATAATTATTATATAAATAAGAAATTTCTTCTCACGTGGGGAGACTATAATGGTAGGGTTTTTGATATGCATTGTAGTAATTAAATCTAAATGAGATAAAAATCATTTTTTTCTTACATAAAGTGAATTAAGAAAAAAATTCATTAGTATTTGGGGTTCGTACTTCGTACCTTAAGCGTGAAATATACATTAGTATTACCGTACATCACATTTCTACTGTGGATAAAAATTGAAGTTTAAGCTAGTTCAAATTTTTAATGTTATTTTTCTTGACTTAAAAGAAGCAAAAAAAATTTCCAACAGATGGTTGCGAAACAAGTTTTTTTTTCTTTTCCNCCAACCGATGGTTGTGAAACAATTTTTTTTTCTTTTCCTTTTTTTTTTCCAAGACCGGCATAAGTATGGATCACCCTGGAACTACCATGAAGAATAACTTTAAGGCGGCTCACGTCGTCTTTAAAACTAACACCACTACGTTGTGAATCAGCCCGAAATTAATCAAGAGCTGATTCAAAACGTGGGTAGGCCTCCCCCGTTAGCCGAATCCCAGAGTGGGATCCGTTTCCGGGTTACACCACGTGGAAATTAAGGCAGAGATTTGTGTAGGGGCAAATACCTGACAAAAAACNACTAATACCTCTGAAAAAACATAAAAACATAGAACATGAAGCCTAAGACCGTAGAATAAACCAGCGCCTCAGGTCCTCCTATGCCGGGCGGCGTGGCTGCCTTTGTTTCAGACGTTCCGCTTCCTCTTTCTTTAACAAGATGGATTCGGCAAACGCCATATTCTGTACCATACGTTATTCGACGGTCAAGAAGCTTATGATGTTCAAAAAGTATTCAAATCTTTTGATCCAGGCGATTACTACAATGATTTGATTTTAAATATCAATAATATAATAAATAAAATAAAACCAAACTATTTATAATTAATTTCAAATGATTTAATTAATGACCCAGGCTACAAATAGAGTATTAATGTTAAAACTAAAAAATATATCACATATTATAAGTTAAATGAAGATGATTTAAAATTTATTGAATATTTACACACAATCTCAGATTCTAAAGCAATGAATTAATATGTATTTTACATATTATAAATATTTTTATCACCAAAACAAAATTCCCTTCTTAAAACACTAAATAATTAGATAATATCTTGACAAAATCAAATTATTGTACAGATTGTAAAACAGTACCTATACGCATGGCTTCTATTATAAGTAGTCTACTAGAGTTAAAGACGTCAGCTTCTTTAACCATTTATTCAAACAGTGTTTAAAATCACTATGAAAAAAAAATGCTTCGATGCAAATCATTAGACAGTGTTTAATTTTAAAAAATTGGTGTTATTCCAAAACTACATGATCTGCTAATTCCTTATTAATATCCTGATTAAGATAAAGTATGTCGAATGAAAAAGGGATTATTAAAAAATATTATTTCTCATTAAAAAATTAGCGGTATTTAAATTTGTAATTTTTTTGGAGATTCCCTCCATACAAAAGGAAAAATTTTTCAATTTTTGAGGGTAATGTCTTCGACTAGATACAATTTGTGATCTTTTGACGTATCGTTGAAAGAAATCCGTTCGGTGAGAGCTGAGAAAAAGTGGTAACAGACACAAAAAAAAAACACATCTTTAGCAAAACCAATACCTTCTCAGCTTCGCATCGAAGCTAAAATTTAAAAATCAATAATTTCTAATTTTTTTTAATTAAAAGTGCCATAACTTTTTCAAAAATAAACAAATCAATATAATTTTTTTTTTTTATAGATGAATGATATCTTTATCTATTATTTGATATATTTTTTAATAAATTTGACTCTTTATTTGCCGACAGGAGAGGATTAAAATTACAACTTTTTCACAAGAAAATTGACTTTTGAAAATATTCCGGAAAGACTGACATTTGTATATATACCTTAAATTAAAGCTTATGTACTATACTTTAATTTTAAAAAATAAATTTGACCACTTGACTTGTCTTCATGGTAAAAATGACTACTGTATGCAAAAATAAGCTATTATTGTGAAACAATTCTTGATATTATATTTTATATTTTTTAACATTATGTAGCTATAACCTTTTAAAAAATACATGAATCAATTATATTCTTCAATGATAAATACTTTATGTATACCTATTTCATTCGACATACTTTATTTTTAAATCGGACCATTTGNTCGACATACTTTTTTTTTAAATCGGACCATTTCCCTTTATAATGTCTTTATAAAATGTTTTTAATTATTATTTATCCTAATAAATTATTTCAAAAGAAATAATAATAATTTCTATGTAATTCTTGGTATTTAAATAAATGATACAGTTGAAATATTCAAAACTATTTTCCTATATATATATATCCTATAGTTTTTAACTAATTAGTGACAATATAAAAAATTATTGGTGTTGGAAAACGTATGATTGCTGATTCTAAATTAGCACGAAAAATTGAATTATTAAAGTATCTTTTTTACTCGGATGAAAATTTTTTGCGGACCATTTATTTATATTTAACAATAATTTATTAAATCTTTTTAACAACTTTGTTTTAATTGATTCATTTAGTTAAGTGAATCATTAAAATTAATTAAGTTCTGAATATTTCAATTGCAGAATCTTTTTAAACACCAAAAGTTACTTGGAAATGATTATTATGATTTCTATTTACGTGTTCTATTACGATGAAAATACAAAAAAATATTGAGCTTTTTTGATAAATTTACCATAAATAGTAATTATAAAACTTCCTAAATGCACACTAATCTTAAAGATACAATTTTTTTAATTCTCATAAAATTTTTTGATGTAAATTTCAAACTTGCAATTAAGCTAAAAAAGTTTTGACAACATATTCAATTATTTTTACTATAAACTTTCACAAAACTTTATCAAACATTTTTCATCAACTTTAAATAACCAAAAAAATAGGTTGAAATTAAATTTTAGACTGATCATTGTTAACACATTAAAAATTTTAGATTTTCAGAAACATGTTGTTGCAGTTTTGACACATATTAAGTTTGATAGTATTTTATTGACTTCTATCCATCAAATTATTTGTACTAATATTGAAACTCTTATGGTACATAAAAATTAAAATAAAATTTATCTTTCAAGCCACTCAAATTTCAATAATATTGATATGAATGAAGTATTCCCAATTAATACTCGGGAAGATCTTAAAACATTTGAATTCAAGCTCAAGATAAATGAAAATGACTTCAAATGCATACTTGTAAGTAAAATGACTTTTTATTGCTTTTCTTATTATTGATACATACATTAATGCCTTTAGAATGACAAAATTCTATATCAAAATTTGAAGTTCCATTTAAATACTTTCTTAGTTTTTTTGTATATTAGTTAATATTATTGTTACATAACGACAAAAGATCATCTAAATAATTCTTACTAAAATTAACAAACTATTATTTATTATAGTATTAAAAAAAATTCTCATGGATTTACAAAAGCAATATTCAGTTGTTGTAGAATACAGTTCATTAGAATTTAATAAACTAGCAGATTTCTTCCAAAATAATTATGATGTTTATGTATTTATTGGTTTCTTTTAGTTTAATATTTTCTAAATTTATCAATCATCAAGCATCTTATAAATCGTATCTTGAACCAAAGTACTGAGAGGGTACAAAATATTTATATCAAATATTTTTCTTTTTGTTTGATAATTTTCTTAAAACCTACTTCTTTAAATCAAATTAAAGCCAATACAATGTACTTGTAGATAAAAAAAAATATAGAAAATCTTGATTTCTAGTTGCTGCTATAATTATAATTAATTAACGCTAATGTCAGTATGTGTTTAGCGTTGATAATGGTAACATTGTTTCCGAAATACGTATTCGCGACTTTTCATTATCTTTTTTGTGGCTTTGAGTTTAACATTTTTAATATTTTTTAGTTTTTTAAATTAATAATATTTTTAATATAGTTTTAATTTTACTTAAAGAAAGATAACATGTATTGACTATTGTTAATTTTAATAAAAGGAAAATAGTTTTCATTATATTTTTCTATTACTATTGGTTTTACTATATAATAAATCTATTATTTAAATAATATCTAATTGAAGATACTACTGTCAAAACTTAAAAATTCTCTCATACCTGGTAAATGGGTGGGAGAATTATCCCAACAAATTACGATTTTTATAAATCAGTAAATTTCGATTTATTTTAACTTTAATACATAAAATAATGTAGCTTTTTGAAAGATAAATGAATGCTAATGAAATTTTTTTTTTTTAATACTTACGTTAAAAACATCAAAATCGGTGAGAGCTGAGAAAAAATAGTTAAAGACAATAAATAAATAAAAACATCATAGTAAAATTATCAGCTTCTCAGCTCGATCTAAGATAAAAAAAAATATTAATTATACTGTAGATAGAGGAATTAATTACTGTTTAAATACTTTTCAAAACACGGTCTTCATGTTTTAAAACTCTTAAAAACATTTGTAGTAGTCGCATTGGATTATCTTAAGTTTTACTTAAAAAATAAAAAAATATATGCATTTTAAAATATTTTACATCATAGAGCTCAATGAACTAAAATTTAGTTGTACAATTCAATACAGGAGGGCAAAAACATCGTACGTTTAATGTAATATCTTCAAAAGAATAATTTTTATAATTGAAAAGTACACTATACACTTTAATTGGGGGAAAAAAATAGTGTTAATCATTTGTCTTTTCTCTTACAATTGTTGTTTCAGCTTCAGTTTTTCAGACAGGAACAAACATGTTTAATTGGCTTAAAAATAAGAGAACGATTTATCTAAAACAATGATTAGTCCAAAATAAAATTTGAAAAATTATTTTAAAAACTATAAACATTTTTACACTTTTGCTGGATGAAAGAAAATTTTTAGAAATGTTTACAGATAATAATAAACAAATGATTACTTTACTTGCATTCTTTATCTTAAGTGTTAATAACTATTCAATTACTGGTAGAAAAATGGTTATTGGCTGTTCATTAAATAGATCATTTCCTTATTTTTAAACTATTTCAAAAGAGCTGACAATGCCTCTGAAAAATTATCGATACAGCGGAAATAATGCTTTTCTAAATAAATACGTGTATTTTTTTAAATTTTTAATTAAGATTTATAGGATACTTTTAAATAGAAAATAATACATCTTTTTTTATACTCTTCCGTGAGATATAGTTAACGGATCAGTGTGTAAAATAACCTTAAATTATTCTTATATGTATTTATTTTGTGATATTTTATGCAAACCGTAATTCAGGTACAGCTAATAGGGTTGATAATTACTTTAGATCCTTGTACATTCACCAGTCTTTTGTAAAAAGTGATTAATTTATTATGACACTTTTAGATTTAATCCTAATTTAATAACTATTAGGATAGCTATTAGTTATTAGAATATATTCTTCTTAGTTAAGTTTATCAAAAAGATTCTTAAATATTGTTTTTCATATCAAATCTTAATATTAATCATTTATTTAAAAAATAAATAGTACTAGTTAAAGATTATAATCTATTAAGTCCAATCTGCAATAATTATTAAAGTTTCGACATACTTATTTAATAAATAATAAGACAAGGTTTTTAAGTTATTTAGGAGACTTTATTTATATTTTTTATAAAAATAATTAATTTAAATGCGGACAAAAACCCGATCGGGCGAAAAACCGCATCTGCAATTAAAAGGGAAGCCAAACAAGAGAAAAATGTAATCCGACAAAAAAGCACACCTAACACTATAGGAGAGAACGCGTGAAGCGTTTGTTACTTACATACGTGTCTGTTGTGGATTCTTGTTCATTCTTAACTGATTTCCTGTTTTTACTTTGATTAGACATTTACATAAAATCTATAAACTATTTAGATTATTTTTATTTATTTGCTTATAGCTAAATTACTTTTAATAAATTAAAACTTATTTAATTTTTATTGTATTACCTCGAACAAATTCTATGATATCTTCAGCGTATTTAATATAATCAATTATTTTTGTTTTGTTTCCTATTTTATGGCTGAAATAAATACTACTGATCCAGTGCTGGCCAAGTACTGTTATTATATTATAATATAATATTCTATCACCTCCAATATTAATCCAGTATTGACACTGCACTACGCTTGGTAACTGATGTAAATAAAAGCGAGTGAATTTTGGACTACTAATATATAATTTTATAAAAGTCTTGTCTAAAATTTTCATAATCTATAAATGCATTCTATTAAAAATGTATATTTCAGTATAAATAAAATATATTTTTGAAAATTAACAACACATGGTCATTGTAGATACAATATGAAGTATTTTAAATTAATTGAACTCACTTATTTAATTTTATACTTGTCAAATGATGTGTATCAAGATGTGAAATTAATTTTAATTACTTAATGAATTGAGTGAATAATTCACTATAATACTTAGATTTTTTTAGTTCATGTGTTCCTCAAATAAATACAATATTTTTGTTTCGTTAAAGGTCATACTAGGTTCAGAAGGATTCAATGGATTTTTACCAATGTGTCTAAATTCCTAGATTTGGCACTGTTAACGAAACAAAAAACATTGTCTTTACGATGCTTTGTAACTATGTATTAGAAACGTATTATGTGCCAATATTAAAGCATTCAAATAGTCGCCTATCAAAATGCCAATATCAGCTACCTTAACACGTTCTAAAAACATATATGTTGAAAAATTTTTTTTTTAGTTCATGTATTCCTCAAAGAAATACAATACACCTATTTCGTTACAGGTCATACTAGTTTCAAAAGGATCCAATGGGATTTTTTCCCATGTGCCCAAATTCATAGATTTGACACTGTTAACGAAATGAAAAACATTGACTTTACAATGTTTTGTAACTATATATTACGAACGTATTATGTGCCAATATTAAAGCATTCGAATAGTCGCCTATCAAAATGCCAATATCAGCTACCTTAACACGTTCTAAAAACATATATGTTGAAAAATTTTTTTTTTAGTTCATGTATTCCTCAAAGAAATACAATACACCTATTTCGTTACAGGTCATACTAGTTTCAAAAGGATCCAATGGGATTTTTTCCCATGTGCCTAAATTCTTAGATTTGACACTGTTAACGAAATGAAAAACATTGACTTTACAATGTTTTGTAACTATATATTACGAACGTATTATGTGCCAATATTAAAGCATTCGAATAGTCGCCTATCAAAATGCCAATATCAGCTACTATAACTCGTTCTAAAATCATATATGTTGTACAATTATATTTTTAGTTCATGTGCTATTTAATAAATACAATGCTCCTCTTATTTCGTTACAGACCATTCTAGGTTTAAAAGAATCCACTGGGATTTTTGCATTGTGCCTAAATTTCTAATATGACACTGTTAACGAAACGAAAAACATTGATTTACAAAGCTTTGTGCCAATATTAAAGCANAACATTGATTTACAAAACATTGTGCCAATATTAAAGCATTCGAAAAGTCACCTATCAAAATGCCAATATCAGCTATTTCATTATGCTCTGCAAACATATATGTAATTATATATAAAGTTATCAGTTAAGATAAATGTGCTAGTAACACATTTTCTTTGATATATTATGTTATAAAATTCACTCATTCATTATTGTTAAGTTACAATATGCATTTAAATACTTATATTGGATTTAAAATAACCTTTGGTTGTTATTTTTTGAAAATTATAGTATGTTGAAATTTATTTAATTTATTCTTTACTCATCTGGAGTTAATGAATATGATAAATATTTGAGACTGTTTCTATCATATAATTAGAGTGATCATTAAATTAAATATGATTATGTGATGAAATAAATAAATAATTTTTAAATTAACATTAAAACTTAATAAAACTATTATAATTTAGTTACTTTTCTCAAAAAATGATAATCAGTTTAAAAATATAAAGACCCTGAAAGCTTAAAATTCTGTTCATTTCCCACTATATTTATAATGCACTAAAATATAATTTTTAATCTTCTCTGGCAATGTATTTAAATGTCCATAATATTATTGTTATTAATATACTTTTCAAATAGAAATAGAAACTGAGTAGAACAAATTTTAAAATGGTCATAATTATCTTCCCTTTATATCCATGAAAAAATAATAGTAATAATAAAACTAATTTAATTAAAAATCATAAAACTAAAACAACTAAAATATATTTACTTACCTAATTTTAAGTCTAAAAAACACGTTTAGACCTAAATTTTTTAATAATAAATGCTCGCGTTGCATTGTATGCTGATTTAATTTTACTTTTAATAGTTCTTTTTGTCTTACCTATATACCGATAACCTTTTCCGAAAAATTTACTTGATGAGATATTAACATCATCATGTTTGCCATCATTATCGTTGATTGAGTTTTCAATGATATTTGAATGTTTAACATCTTCATCTGACTTATTACTGTGATTTTCTACATCATTGCGCTTACTAACATAATCGTTTGAATTTTCATGATGATCAGACTGCGTATGTGTGATTTCTTCTGCAATGATTTGGGTATCAGTTATATTAAAATGTTCAACTCCATCATTTGATTTATTTATGGGTTCCATATCATTGTGTATACTACCGTAATCGTTGATTGAGTTTTTATGATAATCAGACAGTTTATATAGAATTTCTTCTAAAATGATTTGTATTTTACTTATATTTAAATGTTTCACATCATCTTCTGATTTATTTATGTGTTCCATATCATTGTGTTTACTATCATAATCGTTGTTTGATTTTTCATTATAATCAAACTGCGTTTGTGTGATTTCTTCTGCAATGATTTGTGTTTCACTTATATTTAAATGTTTAACTCCATCATCTGATTTATTTATGTATTCCACATCATTGTGTATACTATCATAATCGTTGTTTGAGTTTTCATCATGATTAATCTGAGCATATGTGACTTCTTCATCAATGATACTTGTATGAGTGATAGTTAAATGTTTAATTTCGTCATTTGACTGGGATGAGGATTCCATGATATCATTTTTACCATGATAGTCATTACAAGATTTTTCAATAGTCTTTACTTCAGTAAAATATGTTTTACATGTCTTTTTTAAGTTATCATTCCACTTTTTAATTATTTCTTTGTCTGAAACTCCATTATTTAACATCCAAATAATTACGTAGTCCGGCTTATTTAAACTTTTGAATGTTTTATTAGGTAATGTAAATTTTTTCATGTCTTTTGGTGCTTTATAAACAAGAGTAGTTTTAACGAAATTTCCTAATACACTGTATTCCCAACAGGCTGTTGGTTCACAGTTCGTAATCGAGTCTAATATTCTTTTATATACAACATTTTTTTTAGGCCTCTTGTTTATGTACAATTTAACTTTAGGTAAAGGACAAGCTTGGAAGAGAAACAATTGCCGATGGTTTTTATTTAATTGATTGTAACTCCCAATTTTGTATATTTGATATTTCATTGTATGAAATAAATCATCAACATATTTTTCACCTTGTTGAATAAATTTCATCATTATATTAAAAGCAGTTTTATTATCTATTATACTTAAATTTGTGTCACAGTTTGTTTGTCTAATATGCATTAAACATTGGATGATCTTTGGTATATTTTTTTTATCGTTTTTTAATATTTCCTCTATAATAGCTACCGGTGGTATTTCATCAACTTCTTTCAATAGTAATTCTTTATTGACTAAATTTTCTCCTTGCTTGTACCTATCAGGCACTAGATCAGGAACATTCTCGTACATTTGTTTTTTGACGAGTGCTTCCAGTAAAACTATATCGATTTCCATGTTTAGGAAATGTTTTAATTCATTTGGATTAGCAGTATATCTTAAAGTCATCATATTGTTATATTTTAATTATTATGATTAAGTTTAAATCAAATAACTTTATAAAAATGACAATTTTGGATAGTACAACCTTTTGTTTACTTATGTTAGTTGCCATGGAATGGAATGGAAATGTATACAATATTTTTTTGTATTCAATAATAACTTTAAATTGTAGATAGTATAATTTCTTTAAATAATGTTTAAACGTAATTGTTGTTCACCAAACTTCAAATTTAATTTCTCAACTACTCATATTCTATATAATTTGATGTCATCAAATTATATGTTTTTATTATAACCCACTCAATAACTTACAGAATAAATATGATTTGAACATTTATACTATTCAACCCTTATGCCTTGTATGGGTGTCAATTTTGTTTGTTTAAATGGGAACACATTTTTGAGTTTAATAAAATGATTGAGTTTTTAATGTAATATGGCATTTGAATTGTAATGTAACTCTTTTAGTTTATTATATATATAATATATATAAATATATGAAGTTTCAAAATGTTGAGTTTATTTACATGTTTTTACATTTACTTTATTTGGCTTTTTTATTTTTTTGACGTTGTTATTTTAGTTACATTTTGTATATTGTCAGTTATGACTATCAATAGATATGCTTTTTGTATTGCCAGTATGTGTATTTATAAACTCACAAAAATGTACCTTACTATCATTGAAAATAAATGCTGCGAATATCAACGTCATATAAAACCAATTATCTACCTGTATTTGTAGTTGTTATAGGTATAGGAGCTGTTCTATTTCATTGGAATGACAGACCTGAGGAAAGACAAGTAATTGCCTACGATAGCAAAAGGTGAAGCGAGACAGAAAAACGTTATGCAGCAGTCGAAAGAGAATGTTAAGCCATTATATAGTTAGTCGAAAAGTTCCGACCCTTACTAAAACCGGCCGTTTTAAACTCCTTACTGATAATTCAGTATTAACCTGGGTTCACAAGACAAGAGACCACTCGAATAATTCGTATTGTGTGGATTCTCGTGGTTTCTTGTCAAATAGCTTTCGCAGATGCTAAAAAAAAGTCCTTGAAAGATCACGAAACCAAACTCAACGAATACCAGAGAAAATATCAGCTATGCAATCGATAGGAAATAGATTTCATCATATTAGATTTTATATTGAATTTATAATATAACTCAGAAAATCAGCTAAATGACCCCGAAGTTTACCATAGGCAACTGTGCCGTAGGTCACCGAGGTGATAACCAAGAGAAAAATCGTGACGCTCTTATCATACCCCATAAGACCTGCACGGAAAACTGTTACAAAGGTTACATACGATTTCAATTATATCTTTATTTTGCAGCCGACGATTTCATTACTTGACCACGTTCCAGGGCAACGCGATTACCGATTGTATAAACGCCGTATTCGTAGACGTTAGTATAAACATACCGTTAGGTTTTCAAACATGTTGTAATTTGTTTGCTTTCAGTTGTTTATTTCACAGTGTTGCACCAAACCGAGAGAGTACAGAGTCACCGAGTGGCCTATGAAATATACGCCCTGAGACTTGGTCGTTCGTCTTCGACTACGAGTGTTCCGCCATCGTGGAGTTCTGCCTGGCGTCCAGAGACTTTGTGAGTATAAAACATGGCGTGCAATCAGTAATTAATATTATGCAAACACAAAATATACCATTGTTTATACTATATTTGCGTTTCCTTGTGTACAGCAACACTACTTTTCTTTTTGGTCCGAGGGAAGACATTTCAAAAAATACGGACCGGTGTTTATCATGGACCACATATTTCATGATCACTACGCCAACAAAAAAACATGGCTGTTCCGAATCAACAAAAAAGTTACTTAATCGTTATTAATAGATGCATAGACGTTGCTGGATTGTGATTAACTCATCGAGTTTTCCGAAATGATTTATGTATAGTATCGCTTACCGAGTTTCAATATACTTTTGAATGAGAGTGATAAGTAATAATTGCCTTATCAAATTTCTTATCATGGTATTAATGTCAAGGTTGTAAATTATAGTAATCACGAAAAGATAGTGTTTTCTTCTGTCCTTTTCTCNTGAAAAGATAGCGTTTTCTTCTGTCCTTTTCTCAATACGTATTTCAATGTTTAATACAGTAAAATAATACATGAAAATTCAAATTTTCACAAACTTCAAAACGCTACAGAATATTTACTACTGAATATTAATAAGATATTTTTTTACTAAAATTTTTCTTAAATTCTACTCTACAAAATAGCTATCTTAGATTTTTTTTTTACATTTTATTTAAAATTTAAAAATAATTAATATTTTTAATAAAATGTAAAAAAATTAATTATTGAGATATAGCTATAGACCTAACGTATAACTATTATTAAAAAAAAAAATCAGCTAAAAATATTAACTGGATCAAAAGTTATTTAAGTTGTCAGTGAGTGCTGGGGGCCAACCTGTATAAAGAAATAATTTTTAATTAGTTTATTCAATAAGTAATCTTCCTCTTATTGTTTTTGACTCATTAAGTATTTTATAAGAAAAGATCTAAATATGTTTATTTTGAAATTAAAATAATCATAACAATAATTGATTTATTGTTAAAAATAAATAATAAAAATACAATTTTAACATGGTCTTAAAGTGCATAAATTAATAGGCTGGAAATCTAATAGTCTGATGGAATGTTTAACTTAAATGGAATTTTAAAGAAAATAGACACCTAAAGGACCAATACAATGGTGAATAAACAAAATTGAAAATAATTAATTGGAAATTTGACTATAGATTGAAGAAACACTAACACTTATGGAATATATAAACTTAAAGGATATATCACAAGGTTTAGTTAAAATATGAGTTATTTTGATATAAAACACTTTTTAATTACTAAAATGAATAGGGATTCTCTTTTAAAGTCGTTGAAGTTATTATTAAAGTGTATTTCACGTATATCAATATAAAATAATATTTTAAATTGCATAAATATAAATTCACTTCTTTTACTGAAGAACATTGCTGACATATTCATATATAATAGGAAAAAAATATATATTGGGATTATAAAAAAATTATTAATTAAATTAAATCAATAAAAAATATTTTAACGGCTCAAAAAGAAAACATTATAATAGGAAAATAAAAAAAAAAGATATTCAAATCATTTAAATCTAGTTGAAAACTAATATTTAAATACAAAATAAATATTTAAAAAAAAAATAATACTTAAAAAAAATTAATTAACGTCGTATAAAATCTCCAAAAAATACCGAAATCGTATCCAATTTATTATTTATGAAATTTTTTTCAACTTGTAAATTGTCATTGATAGAGTGGCATTAAAAAATATAAATAAAAAATTCTATTATAAATAAACATGTTGTGTCAACGAACATACTTCTGAGAGGTAAATATTTCTTGGCAAGTGAACATTTAGGGCAACATTTCGGGGCAATTCAAAAATGTCGAAACCGTCATGCACCTGCTTTTGACACATGTCTTTTAAGGTGTATATTTTATTTTTTGAATAATTAAGACCACCCCAAGAGGGTGTTATGACAACAACGTCCCCTTTAAGTTGATCAGCCAATTCAAAAAAATCTCCTATTATAAATAAAATATATTTCTCCACTTTATAATTTTTGCATTGTGTATTAGCAGCATAATTTTTTCCAAATTTTTGTTGATTGCTATAACAAAAAAATCAAAATTAAACTTACACGACCAAGTTGCAATAATCATAAAAAATACTCAATTAACTGTTATTTATTGAAATGATACTCCATACTCTATAGACAGATAAAACCAATGAATAAATGTTTACTGAAATGTATTCAGAAACCTACCAGCACAGTTCTTAGTCCACGTTATTTTTGAAAAAATAATATAAGTACAACTTGGTAGTAATTATGTCAAACAAATATATTTTTTTCTAACATTAATGAACCTTTAAAATTAACATATGATATATGAGTACTTTATTATTGGATACAAAAATAAAATTATTGTAATCCTGTTTATCATTGGTGTAAACCTGTCTAGTTGAATAATATTACCAATAGCTCCACAAAAATGGTCAATCGCAACTTTTCCCTTGCAACGTTAAGCGATATGGTAACTCAATAATTCTGGACAAACCGAGTAGAAACTCTCTGGATCCAATTTAAAGCCTTGATAATATTTTGTGATAATGTGTACTGTTTATCCCAGTATTTTTTGAAAACATTGTCGGATGGACTTTTTCGTATAATTTTTATCGGGATTATGAGGGTAAAAAAAAAATAAGTTGATTTGATACTGAATCTTTCAGTATTAATACAATCGATACTTCAATTAAAATATATTAAAAAATGACACGACTTACGTCGCAAAAATGTGATCGACACTGGTTTTGAGGGTAGAGACCCGTGGGCCGTTTATTAAATGAGCGACAACAGGTTATTTTAACAAAAAATAAACAAACCGAAAAGATAAACACAGTAATAATTATCTTCGCATAATATCGCGGCACTTTCGCTGGCGTCGACGACGTAATGTCCGGCGTAATCCTCGGGCGACAAAAGGTCAGCAGCGTTGTAGGCGACGGTGCGCGGGTGCGGATCGGTTGGTCGACGTTGTCGCTTTCACAACGGGGAGACGACTCCCGTATCATTTGCGGCGGGTGGTCGTCGGCCGTGCGGCACTTGCTGGACTTTGCAACGTGGCGTATGGCACGCGGTATTGGTCAGTCGAGTACTCATAAAATAGGGCGACGGCTGATAAAGGTGGCACGAGTCGCGGGGCATCGTGTATAACGAAGCGACGCGGGCCGTGTCAATATATTAAAATATTTATTTAACTTTCAATGACTTTCATTGATAGGTTTAATCGACATTTTATTCAGTCGTTATACTAGTTACTTGGAGTTTTTGGTAGGATGTTGTATTTTTATTTTCAATAATTAATATATTTAATCTGAATGTAACAAAATAAAATTTAACTTTGTTAAAGATTTTTCTTTTTTCTGCTAAATTTCATTCAAATTCTTAAAGAAATTAAAATAAACTATTGGAATAAAAATTCGAATAATAATTGTGTATTTTTTACGAATAGTAAGTACAGATAAAATTATCATTTTTGAAACCACTCAATTTTATTTTATTTTAGCTTCGATGCGAAGCTCAGAGGGTAATAATTTTACAATGAAGTGCTTTTTTGTGTGTGTGTCTGTTACCACTTTTTCTGAGCTCTCACTGATTTCTTTCAACCATACGTCAAGAAATCACAGATGGTATGATGTTGTCGAAGACGTTATCCTGAAAAATAGAAAAAATTCCACTCGTTACCCATAAATGATGGAAATCTCCAAAAAAATCACAAATTTAAAAATCCCAACTTGTAATAGTTGGAAATACTTAAGGTAGAATTGAATCAATTATTTTTAAAATTATATTTTAAATTTTTATAAAGCATGATTAATATTAACTTCTTTATATAAATTATAACAGTTAATATTGCTTGGAGCTCTTGATATGTAATATTATATTATTACTTGTAATATTAACGTATAATAGTGTGTTATCATTTATACATGTATGTCACATATTTTGAATATATAAAATAACAAAAACAGGGTTTCCTAATTTAAAATACAAAATAACCAGCTAATTATGGCATAAAATCTACTTATTGTAGATAATTTTTAAGTAAGGCCTACACGCAAGGCTCCCATTATAATTATTCAATTAGAATAGAAATCCTCAGCTAGAGATCGCTAGACTACCCTCTTCTGACTATAAAAAGCCATTTTCAGGTCAAAACCAATTTTAAAATACTCAAAATCTACGACGCTCTACTCGAGATATCACTCTCGGGGACTTTTTTTTTGTTTAATTTGGACCTAGAACATTTTTCAATTTATAAACACTTGGTCTGTTTTATAATTTTTTTGAATTCAAAATATTTTTCTCCAAAATTAAATGACACTTAGAAATTTTGAAGTGAATTTTGTTTTGGTGAATCTTTTGATTTAAGTTCATTTGTTTATTAAATAATAATGCTTTATTTTTCTTATTATGGAAATAATTATCAAATAGTATATTGAACATTGAATTTTTTTTTAATTATTTTACCTTAATAATAAATCCGACCCAAATTTCAACTTTTATTTAATAGTGATAATTTATTGTGAGCTTTTCTTGTTGGGTAGCTAATCTAAGAGCTTTATGTTTTTGTTTTAATGAACATCGCCCCGGCGGACAGCGCAAAGAATTTTACGAATATATTTTTAGTGCTAATTTTATGTCTTGGTGATTATTGTGTCGCATTCTTTCAAGGCGCTAGTAGTGGGACACATTGGGCCATCACAATACCACTTTGATAAATTTTTTACATTGATATAAATATTTTAAAATCTTGTTTTGGCCAAGCAGAGGAAGATTTAAGAAATGTCGGTGTCGATCTCTCAATAAAATATAATCTCTCTCAAAAAAAATGTATTCAACAAAGATAAAAGAATTAAATAAGGGAAAATCACAAAATTATATCTCTAATAAAAATATAGTGTTTAGAAGTAAAATCAGTCATAAATTGTGTGTAATTAAATAGTATTATTTAAAATTTGAATCGTTTTCGGAAATAATTATATTGATTATATGATGTTTAGTATAAATCGTATACATAGTGCATTTAATACCAAAATGAACATTGGATTACTTGAAATTTTATTGAATCATGTAGGTCATTAGGTAAGTACAATTTACCTTATATTTTCGAACTTCCAACAATCTATTATGTAATAAACTATTAATAAAAAATTATATAAATTTAAAAAAATATCTAACATCCTTCCATTTCCACTACTACCATGCTCTCCATTATTTATCTTTCTTATTTTTTCTAATTATTTTATTTTTGGTTTATTACAGATATAGAATTTTAATCGGCACG